ATTAGCTGGGCATGGTGGCACGTGCCTGTAATCCCAGCTACTCGGGAGGTTGAGGCAGGAGAATTGCCTGAACCCAGGAGGCGGAGGTTGTGGTGAGCCGAGATCACGCCATTGCACTTTAGCCTGGGTAACAAGAGCGAAACTCCGTCTCAAAAAAAAAAAAAAAAAATGGAGTTCCGGAAAGAATTCCTAAGTTGAAAGGTACTGGAAAAGAAAAACTTTCCTTGGCATTCATTTGTTATTGTTCAGTGATTTTCAATGAATTCAATCTTAAGAAAGACTAAGAGAGAAGGAAGAATGGTCTTGATGTATTGTAAATACAGATAACGAAGGCCTAGAAATCTGACTTATTGTCCCAGCAGAACTAGGAAGAAAACCCAAATTCTGACTTCTAGTTATCTTCCCTGGAAAGCAAATGGTTGGTTTGCTTTAAGAATCAAGGATTTCCAGTAAGAGTGTTATAGCACTTTAAAATGCAGCAAAGCAAATAAATCTCACATTACTCTGACCTGGCAATGACGTCATAGAAATGCATTTTTTTTTCCCGCTCTTTGCTCAGAGCTTTCAGGAGATTGTTGAAAGTGCCCAAATCTTGCAACTCCTTAATGGTATCTGCAATCACATCACTGAAAAACTGCCTGTGAGGAGAAACAAAACAAAACAAAGAAGAGTTAATAAATGTTCAGGCCAGGTGCAGCGGCATGTGCCTTCATCCGAGCTGCTTGGGAGGCTGAGGTGGAAGAACTGCTTGAGCCCAGGAGTGTGAGATCGGCTGGGACCACATAGCAAGACCTGGTTTCAAAACAAACAAAGTGTGTGTGTGTGTGTGTGTGTGTGTGTGTGTGTGTGTGTAATTTCCCTACATTCACAAAGGGCTGCAGAAGTCACACAAGTTAAGACCCAGGCCTAGAAGAAAATCTAGGCAAAACCATTCAGGACATAGGCATAGGCAAGGACTTCACGACCAAAACACCAAAAGCATTGGCAACAAAAGCCAAAATAGACAAATGGAACCTAATCAAACTCCACAGCTTCTGCATGGCAAAAGAAACAGTCATTAGACTGAATTGGCAACCAACAGAATGGGAAAAAATTTTTGCAGTTTATCCATCTGACAAGGGGCAGATATCCAGAATTTACAAAGAACTAAAACAGATTTACAAGAAAAAAACAAGCCCATTCAAAACTGGGAGACTGGGTTTTTTTTAAAAGACTTGGTTTTTCAGATACATGTCAAATACATCTGAAGTCTCTAACCCCAGTCCCTCAATCTTCCCCACAGATTAACAGTCTTCTGAATTTGGTGATGATTATTCTCTGGCATGTTGTGATACTTTCATTATGTGTTTGTGTGTTTTATTTAAATAATACATGTAGGTTTACTTTTTTTTTTTTTTTTTTT